ATGTGTCTTTGGCATCATTTGCTTTCCTAAGAAGGTCTGCAAGAGTTGGGAGAATATTCCAGAAAAACAAGCCCAGGGAGCAGAAGGGTTGGGAGATGAGATAGCTCAGCCTCCTTCTTGGGGTTAGAGAGCCAGTGCTGTGGCCAGGCATGTGGTGGAGGCAGACGGCCAGGCCTCCTGGAACAGCTCCAAGAGAAGCCTAGCTCGGAGCTAGGCCGCACAGAGCTGAAATTCTTAGTGGAACAGCATGGTTAACAATAGTACAACTGCCTCAAAGACCAAGAAAACTAAGCGATGACTCACATAAGGCACTTAGAAGAGCTTGGCTCATGATTTTGTGTTCGGTCAAGAACACAAAAGCTGGAGCCAGATTGCTCGGTGGATTAGTAGCTGTATAACCTAAGGCAAACTGTTTAATCATTCAATGCTTCCGTAGCATCATTGGTGAATGACCTATCTTAGAGCAGTTTACGAGAATTGAATACATGGGTTGGCATATATATACTACTATATATATCACTGGAACAAAATATTAAATAATGTATTATTATTATTATTATTATTATTATTGGAGGTGACCAAGAATGATATCCTCCGAAATAATTTTTAGAGAAAATAATAGGAGGAAGTTAGTGCTCAATAAATAAGCATTACTTGACTGAGATTATGAAGACAGACTTGTTTAGGAAAGGAGTATGTGAGTTGTTTGTTTTATTTTGTTTGTTCTTGCATTTGTTTTTATAGGGGTATATGACAGAGGAAAGAGGCCTGGGCTTGAAATTAAGACAGACTTGATTGAGAATCCACAAATGTTGACCATGAGCAAGTTACTTCACATCTTAAGCCTCGGTTTCCTCCCCTGTAAAATGGGTATGACAGCAATACACACTTGTCTGGGGTTGTTGTGAGTGTGAAGTAAGAGCTTTCTTAGTTTCCAATACCTTTTCAGTCAACTTCTCAGAGCCGTTGCTGTGTATCCAGTCTTCTACAGTGAGGGACCAGACAGTCCAGACAACAGGCTGCTAGTAGGATGCCGTCTCTTCTACCAAGGTCTGCTGACCCTGCAAGACACCAGGCACCCTGGGGATACTACTGTGGACAAAAATGTTGCTCTCAGCTATGCAGATCCCATCATTCTAAGGGTCTGAGGAAAGAAGGGAAAGAAGACCTGAGCATAAAGATTCACTAGAGCTGGAGCCAAGGTGAATGTGGGAGCGTCCCAGCATCCACCTGCTCCCCCAACCAGAAGCCTGCACCCCTAGAATTGTACATGACACCTGAGGAACGATGACCACAGAAAACCATGAGGATTGAGGTTTCGGAGATTCGGAGAGCCTCACTGGGTCCTTCCACACCCTTACTCAGCTGGCCCCTGAATGAGATGAGGCAGAGGGTCTGATGACTGGAATTCCCCTAGGGGAAGAGAGGAATTTCCCTTCTTTCATTCTTACTTTTTAACTATAGTAGAAAGAAAAAAGCACAGAAGTTTTGCAACTGACAAGCCCATGTCTTTGTCCTGGCACTGTCTGTGTCAGTCACTTGTTTCTGTCCACTGGGCCCCAGTTTCAAATATGCAGGGTGATGTCACCCACTTCCTGGGCTGTTTTGAGGATTAATTGTGGTATTTCCTATGTGAAAGTGTTAAGAAATTGACAGCCAGGAAAGAGTGCGTTTGCTGGGGTTTCTGGGATCCAGCATCTCTTGTGCCCTGTCACCTGTACATGTGCACACACGCATGTGAGCACACGCCCGTGAAAATGCTCTCAGCGTCTCCCAAAGCTGGAGGTTTGTTTCACTCCCTGACCTCTCATTTTCACCCCGTTGATGACAGCTGGCAGGGTGTGCTGACCGCTTTCCACGTGTTAGCTGACTTCTCACCGGGCAGCTTGGTCAGCAGGACCAGCAGCTGCCTGTCTTCTCAGTTTCCCAAAACAGAAAGGTGGTTTAACTCAGAACTGCAGCAAGAGCCCCAGAGGGAATGGGACACAGCAGGGAGGGAAAAATCACAGGACAAAGCCTGGGCAATGTCGGGGTATCATCATGTGGTATTGTTCCATTATGGATATTATTATGTAGCAATGTCCTACTAGCTGTGCGGCTTGAGGCAGGTGGCTCCACCTCTCTGAACCATAAAGATGATATGATGAGTTCATGAATAAAACGACTGAGTACAGAGTCTGCACATAGTCAGCGTTCCACAAACGTGAGCGGTGACTGATTTCACGAGTACAGCAGAGTCAAGAGCCAAACTCTTAAATTTAAATCCTAGCTCTGCCCCTTTAAACACACAGGTAAATGTAGACAAGTCACATCAACTCTCTGTGCCTCAGTTTCTTCAACTGTAAAACAAGTCTCTTCGTCATAGGGTCTGGAGGGGACATAGATGGTGAAGATTGCCTATGCATCCTTCATCCCCTCTCCTTGGCCTTGAAATGAGAAGCTGGAGGAGGTCATCAAGACTTCCCTACCTTTCTGGTTCCCTAACCCAGGCAGGGAGGTCTCTTGAGAGTTTCTGGGTGGAGCTGTGGAAGGGACACAGCTGAGGTGGGGAAGGAGAGGCTTTCCAGAACACGCCTGACAGCAAGCCGCCAGTGCATAAACAGTCCCTCACCCGTACACACGCTCACCACTCAGATTTACACACACGCTCTCTCCGGGCCTTGCCACCCACACAGGAACCTTACCCAGCCCACATCTTGTCCCAGGCAGAGCCAGATTTCTCCTGAGAATCATGCAGTGATTCTCCCCTTAACTGGCATCAAGCTCAGCCTGCTGCCCTGCCCTGCTGTAATTACAGAGAGAGCTGCAAATCTCTGCCCAGCCATGACGTCAGCCTGAAGCTTCTAGCCGGATGAGCTCACCCCACCTCACCCAGCAGCCCAGTCACTCAGGACCTCTTCTTGGAGGGGACTCTCTTGGCTGGAGAGGTGGGAAGTCAGGGGTCTCCCCGGGCAGCTCAGTCCAGATCTGGGCTCCAAAACCACCCACGTTCCCAAGCCCTGCCACCCCACACCTATGTGTGAGGGCCAAGGCTCTGCACCTGTTTCCCCACCTGCAAAATGGGGGTGTCAATAATAAAGATATTGTTGAGAGGTTTGATGCCTTGTCTGCAAAGGCTCATTAGAAGTGGCCGACGCGTAGGAGATGACATGCGATAGTAGTGGTTGTTGTTCTCTGTACTATTATATTTAGAAACCTCTCTCACGAAAGCACTGTTTCGTATCAGAGCAATTTCTCAACTTGATGACTCATAGAATTCCTCGGCACCTCCAGCCCACCCCCACCCCTTGAAGCTGACCAAGATGAGACCCTGAGGCCACAGAAGGAAAACAGTGTACTTAAAGTTGCCCACCTGCTGTAGACAGGCAAGATTAGAACCCAAGCCCAAGTCTTTAGCTCAAAAGGATACGTATAAACTCATTTTTAATTTTTTTGAAGGTCTGAGGATGGAATCCAGGACATTCTCAATGAGCTAATTTTATGAGTCCTTTTCTAATTTTTATTTTTAAATTTTGAGACAGTCTCACTAAGTCACAAAGTTGCCCAGACTAGGCTCAGACTTAGGATCCTCCTGCCTCATTCTCCCAGAGTGCTGGGATTACAGGCATACAACCATCAAGCCTAGCTGTAAATTCATTCTTCCAGGGGCACAGAGGAGTAGAGAAATCTAGAAAATATGTCCAGTCTGGGTTTTGAGTTTCACAGTGAACACCTTGGTTGCGTGTAGTACAGCTGGATAATCACCATTATTAACAGTCATTAAAAATAGAAGCTATCATTTGCTAGCACTTCCATTGGAAGTTTCTTCAACTGTAAAATGGGGTAGTGGTAGGAAAACCTTACTTTACAGGATCATGGGAACAGAGTAAAGGAGTTAATATTTGTAAAGTGTTTAGATTAATCCCGCCCTAGTGCAATCTTTATGCACCCGATAACTTGAAGTCAAAAACACAAAAACACCGGTTCCTTTGTGAAGTGCTCCTTGAGGATGACTTCATGTACCCTGAAGATACACCTACGAGGAGGTTACTTTCATAACAGGTGGGAAAACAGACAGCTTAGAGGTCCATCAGAATAATGTTACAGGTAATGCAGATTCATGATGCAACCAAATTTTAGGTGGGCCCCCGAATCCCTCTGCAGGCCCACCCGCGCATTTTCTTGTATAATCCAATTTCAACAAGAGCCCTGTTGACTCCATGTAGCAACCTATCTGCTCACCCTCTGTATCTGATCAGGCTCTTCAGCCTCCACCATCAACCCCAGTGAATTCTGATTACCCTGATCAGTCTTTATAAGAATCCTGTTAGGTCAGTTTAGCCAGAATCCAGCCACCATCCCAACCCAATCGCTAGTTTCCCATTCATTTACCCCTATCCTGCTCTTTGGTGGTAAATTCCCATTTCATCCATGCTGTATTAGGAGTTGATCCCAATCTTTATCGCCCACTGAAAAATCTCAGTACTTTGATCTATCACAACTTCTGTCACTCTAGCTCCTCTGCCCAGTGAAGTCTCCCTTCCCTAGCTAAGCTTGCTTGCTTTATTTATTTATTTTGTTGCCAAGAATAGGACTCAGCACTACCCCTGTGGTTGGCAGGCAGGTACCGTGCTACTGATCCACCTTGCTGGTCAACACAAGCGTTATTTAGATGGTGTGCTTTTTTTTGTTTGTCACTCTCACTACGTTGAAAGTATAAATGCTCAAATCCTGGCTCCAACTTTGGCCAGACTGACAGTGGGAATTCAAACCTCGGGCCATCTACCTCCAGGTTCACCGGACTCCTATCTGTCCCATCCCCTCCTGCGGGTCTCCAGGGGAAGGCAGGATGCAACAAGCTCTGGGGAAGGTATTTCCAGAGGGTGACCTGAGCCCTCAGCCAGGCGAGGGTTATTAATAGCCCCGAGCTTTAGTGCCCTGCTTGGGGAGGAGGCTCCACGGAGGAGAGGGAGGGCGGAGCTGCGCTGCTGCGGGGGAGGAGTGTCCGGAGAGGCCGGCTGAACTTACACACTGTGGCTTCAGCCGGCCCCTCCCAGGCCCCTCTGGGAGCCCAGCTGTTCCCTCTGCGGATTCTCTGGGGCTGGTTCATTACCTTGGAATACTCTTGTGACAGGAGGCGCTAGCAAAACCCGCCTCCAGCCCCCAGCTGCAAATAAATAGAAGACTCCCAGCCCAGAAGCCCGGAGAAGTTTCTAGGTGAGTGTCTCTGACGTTTATTAGGCTCTGGCTCCACTCTCGACCTCCGCAGTTCTGGCTGGGAGCCTGAGCAGCCTGGGAGGACGGTGGCTTGCTGATCTCTGGTGAGGCCATACACAGAGGGCCCCTCTTGGATTCTGTGGAACCAGCTGGGGTTTGTCACCTTTGGGGGCCGGGACCCCAGGCTGATGAGCACGGCTGTTTTTGGCAGTAAATGGTTCTTTTCCCTGACGGAAGATCGGCATTTTTCTGAAGCTGACAAATAAGCTCTGAAAGTCATCCTTGCTTTGCTGTGTGTCCTTGGATAGGTGGCTCCCTCTCTCTGAGCCTCTGTTTCCCCTGTGAGCCCAGCACTCATCATGGCTGATGGTCAGATGCCTTTCTCCTGCCACTACCCAAGCCGGCTGCGCCGAGACCCCTTCCGGGACTCGCCCCTCTCCTCCCGCCTGCTGGATGATGGCTTCGGCATGGACCCCTTCCCTGATGACTTGACCGCCTCTTGGCCCGACTGGGCTCTGCCTCGCCTCCCCTCCGCCTGGTCGGGGACCCTGAGGTCCGGCATGGTGCCCCGGGGGCCCACTGCCACTGCCAGGTTTGGGATGCCTGCTGAGGGCAGGAGCCCCCCACCCTTTCCCGGAGAGCCCTGGAAGGTGTGTGTCAATGTGCACAGCTTCAAGCCAGAGGAGCTGATGGTGAAGACCAAGGATGGATACGTGGAGGTCTCCGGTGAGTGAGCGCATCTGAGGGGTAGGGGCCTCAGCCCTGGGAAGGGCCCGGAGGAAGCTTCCTGAGAAGGGGAGCGGTGACAGTGTGACACAGGTGACTTCAGGACTCAGGAATGCAGCCCACAAAGTTATCTTTACGGGAAAAGCTCTCCTCTCCCAGGCCCCAGGAGGAGTCTGAACCTGACCCAGCTGCTGGGGCCTCAGGGTGCCCTATCAATCCCAGCACAGGCAGCAAGGCAGGTTGAGTATTCTGGTTAGGTTGGGTATTTTGACAGAAATAATTTAACATACAAAGAATAGGTTAGACAGATGCAGAAGAACAAAGACAAAGAAATGGGCTTTATTATGTTCTCGTATCACAACACAAGGCCCAGAAGGACAAGTAACATGCAGAGTGATGATAATATTAATAACCAGAGTGAGTCAAGCAAGACACTTCCTCTTATCCCAGATAAGGAAACCGAGGTTTAATACAAATGATAATGATGCAGCTGATCACCTGTACTGTTTACCACCCGCTAGGCACCGTGCCAACCTTTCTACCAGTAACATCTCAGTTAATACAATCCGAGCAGATGGCTCCTGGGTGTCTCTTCTTTTTACACATGAGAAAACAGACATAGAGAGGTTAATGTAACTTGCTCAAAGCTACCAAAGGATCACAGCCACTGCTTGGGGGTTGGGAGGCCAAATGAGAACTGATGCTTGGTTCTTAGCTAAAGTTCTTACCTTCCGTCCCCAAAATAATCCTTTCCAACCCTGAGTGGCAGGAATTTCTGATCCATTTTGCAGCTGAAGAGGTTGAGGCTAGGGAAGGGTTTGTCCGAGGTCAGGCCATGAGTCAGCAGCAGGAAAGACTAGAGTGAGGCCTGTCCACCGTACCAGGGCCCAGGCTTCCACACACCGGGGAAAGACAGAAAGCTCCAGCCCTGTAACACGGACAGCATGAAAGCTTTCTTTCGCTTCCCTCCCAATTAACACTCCATTAAAAAGCTCCGTGTTCCTGGCAGAGGCCTGTCAGCCAGAAAATCAATAAAAGCCATTGCAAACACAAGCTGGGCAGAGACAAGCCCTGGCAGGCAGGCAGCTATCAGGGGGAGTTTCAAAGCGGCTGGTGGCAGAATTATAAACATCAGAGGCTCCGGGTGGCTTCGGGTGTGGTGGGGCCTGGAGACACACAGGAGCCACGTGCAGAGAGGAGGGTCAGCCAGGGCCCTCTGAGTTGGTTGGGGAGCCAGGCAAGAGTCACACAGACACCGGCTCTGGTATTAGCCATGAGGATGGGCACTTTGTGCAGCTCTTTCCTTATCTGGAAATCAGGGTTCGAAGGGGTGCACTGTAAAGATCGTGTATTAAATAGGTGATGCCTATAGAGTGTGTACAAACATGGTGCTGGAATACAGGGAAGCAGTACTGTCATTATTGTAAAAGCGCTATTAAGATTGCAGTAATATGGGACACACAGGAAGGTTCATGCTAAGTAATAAGTGGCAGATGCTCTTTGGAAATCCCAGCTGGATAGATATGGACAGGAAGGTCTTTTCACCTGCTATGGCAGTCTTTCCCCCTACTACAGCAAGGGGATCATAATAATACCTATTCTCCAAGGCTGGAGGGAAGATTTAATATATGCAGGCAATATATGATAATGTATACAGAATGTCTCTAAAGTGGAGCTAATAATAGTGCCTGCCTGACACTCTGTACACAGGGTGATTATTACCACCATGCTTCCTGTCCTTGTTTATTTATAGTTGTTTCATCCTGTGGACTTTCAAGTCTCCCATACCCACTAGCCCTTCTGGGAGATCCTCCATGCTGCCTGGAGGGCTTATCGCCATCTTCCTAGGAAGGTGCTTCTTCAGATGGGGTTTGACATCCCCAAGCTGAGATCCCAGCTAAAGACCTTGCTGGCTTAGTCTGGAGGCTGTGGACACATTTCAGTGCCTCAACTTCTTCCTCTGTAGAATGGGGTCTTAATAAGACAAGACTTTTAAAGGTACAGTGAGTGACTTCACCTAGACAGAATCCACATTCCCCTGAGAACACATGCAAAATCCTCCCTAAAAGAGGTTTTAAAAACAGAATTGGTGTCAGGGGATCCATGGAAAAGCAATTTCCAAGGGATGTACTTCCAAGGGACAACTCTGTTCTTCCACAAGCATTTCATGCAGGGCCCTGTGTTAAATGCCCACCCGTGTTGGCTTATTGGATCCCCACAGGGAACTTTCTGGGAGTGTGGGTGGTCCCTGCCTCCTTCACAGATAAGCAGGAGGAGGCTCAGAGAAAGTAACTCACCTGTGATTATCTGTTTCTCTGTGGCAGGAATTGAGAATCAAAACCAGGCTTCCCTGATGTTCTGGGTTAGGGTGGCTTGAGGTACTTCTGTCTGAATGACCTCTAGATCTACCACCTCTAGGACCTGAGCTTTTCTGTTGGTCTTACAGAGAGGTGGTCTATGCCAGTATTTGCTGGACTCATTTTATAAGGTGCTGTTAGATGTCTGAATAATGAAGGAAGTCCAAAGTTTTATTTTATTTATTTATTTATTTGGTACCAGGGATTGAACTCATAACCTTGCACTTGCTAGTCAAGTGCTTATGCTGCTGAGCTAAATCCCAGGCCCTTTGCAGAGTTTTAGAACACACCAGGTAAAACAGAGTCATGAACAGATTTCCTTCCTCCCTGCAAGGCTAATCAGAGACTTTGATTCGTTTATGAATCTCTAAAAGGCAGACTTTCATGACTACATATGGATGTCTTGTTCCAGGGAAGTGCTTACAAATTGCTGGAGTAGATAATTTCTATCTATCTGTCTCACATATGCTCACCCAACCCTGAAGCCACCAGCCAAGAGATGTTCCCTTCACGAGCCACTGGCTCAGATTCTGGCTGAGGAAGGGACTGGAGAACCCCAAGGTCTTATCCCCACCCCAAAGCCTCTATCCTCCCTGGAAACAAAACCTTCCTTCTTTAGCAGGGCCAATCACATCAGCCAGGCTGCTGCCTGCTCCTGGCACCTACATTATACTCCAGGCCGCTCAGAGCAAATGACAGCTGCAGGCAATCTCTTCTTTCTGCAGGTGACATGTTCTTTACAAATCATAATTATTACTTTTCTCTGCCTACAAAAAGGAAATATTTTTATGGCATGAAATGAACAATGGAAAGCAAAATAAGTAGTTAAGAATAACTCGTAATCTAAAAGCTGCCCAAATGATTGAAGTATATGAATAATGTACAGATGACCTTCAGGATAATTTGCTTCTCTTTCAATTAGATTCTCAGCCTCCCCAGATTCCCCGATGGGGCCCCTCTTGCTTAGAAGCCTTCCTTTCCTAAACTCCAAACCCCAGCTTCAAGCATGGATAGTGACATAACTTTGTTCTCAGGTTCATTCCGTTCCCTAAACATCAAGATAAACCCCAAGAGATAACTTTCACACAGTCACTTTACAACTTGCAAAGTGATTTGGTAACTTTCTGTCATTAATTCCTTATGGTAATCCAGTAATCTCCCTTATTTTAGAGAAGAATAAAATGAGGCTCAAAGAAGAGGAGAAATGTGCTAGAAAAGGTCAGACCAAGGATTCATATCCAAACCCACGGGTTCTGGTTCTGAACCTGTGCACTTTCAAGTGATATGATTTTGGACACATCACTTAAGTTCTCTGAACTTTAGTCTCCCCATTCGCAAAATGATAATAACAAAAAACCCCATTTAATAAGGTGTAAAAAATAAAGCAATCATTACAGTTAAGGTGCTCAGAACAGTGACTGACACCAGGTAAACACTATACCAATGCTTTTTGACTTAGGATCAAGCTCTGCCCCCATAAACCCATTGTAAATTGAAAATACTCTAAGTCAAAATGCATTTAATGCACCTGATTAGCTGAACATCCTAGCTGTGCCTAGCCTACTTTAAGCATGCTTAGGACATTACATTGACCAACAGTTGAGCAAAATCATGGGGCACAAAACCTATTTTATAATGAGGTGTTGAATATCTCATGTAATTTGTTCAACACTGTCCTGAAAGCGAAAAATGGCATCACTGCAAAATTGAAAAATAGTACTTTGAATCACTGCTAAGTCAGGGGATATCTGTGTGGTTTGTTATTATTATTCTTAACATCACCATCATTATCATCAGGATTCTCAGCACACCAGACATGCAGAGGGATTCCAGGATGCAAAAGGGCTGAGTCAGAGGCACTGGCCTGTGCCCAAGGGAAGCCGGCCTTTAGGGGCTCAGGCTTTGGGAGGGACCAGGGAACGGACAGTGCTTTCTGGCCACAGGCCCATGAAAAGCTGGGAAGTTGGTTGTCACAGAGTTGGCAGGATAGGGCAAGCTCTTGGGGGAACAGCCCGTTAACAGAAGAGCATGCTCTGGTCACCAGACCCTCTAGTTTAAACAGTATTCCCATAAATGTATCCCTTCTTTCCCACTAGTGGGGGAATAAATCGGTACAGGTTTTCCCAGAGGTCAATTTAGCAATATAGACCAAGCTTTATGCACTCTAAAACTTAGAATTAACCCCCCAGAAGTCCTAAAACCTACTATAAAGATCTAGGTCCAGGACTATTCAGTTCAATGAAGTTCTTCCTGATGCTGAAATCTTTTCAGTGACTCAAAGTAAGGAACTGGCTAAATGAACTATCATATGTTTCTGCAGTTGGACACGTAAAGTCATTAAAATCATGCTGTCAAAGAGTATTTGGTAATAGGGAAAATTCATTACAATGTGTTAGCAAGAGAGGAACGTGGGTTTTGAGCACAATGCACAGAATGATTCCATTTGATAAGTATGTGATATACATCTCTATTATGCATTTTTAAGAAACAGAAAGGAAATTTTGGAACATACATAAAAAAATTCAGCTTTTTAAAAAATGACTTCCTCAGAGTGGCTGTGATTGTTTTCTTTATCTTCTATATTTTCTAGCCTACATTATCTTGTGGTCAAAAGCTATTAAAGGAGTATTACTCTTCATAAAGTAATTAATAATGCAATCACCTGTAATTTCTCAGTTTTTTAAAAACCTGGATTGCATAAGGACACTTATCGAGGTTATTTATAGTCTGGACTCTGGAGCCCCTCAGAAGGGCCCCAAGGGTGTAAATGAAGCGCTTGAGCTTTGGAATGTGGCCTCCCAATTGAGGATCTAAAAGGGGTGGGACTGACTGAGTCCCCCATAACATGCTAATCCTGTTTGTTTAAAGGGAAACTGGAGACACCCTCATCATACAGTGGCAGGCGGGGTTGGGGGGAGGCAGGAGGGTCTGAATTTGCTGTTTTACAAACTAAAAGCTAGTTTGGGCTCAAGACTTCTTGCAATTTCACCTTTTGCCTCCCTAAGAAGAGTTATGTAGCTCTTCCCTGTTAGCCTGTAGGAAGTGGGGCTGGTGGAATTTCACATCTGTGATTTTGTGGCCTCTCTTTCCAAGGGGAGCCTCTTGGGAGAGGGTGGATGTGTTAAGCAGATTGAAGCATTATTTCTGGACTGTCGGTTCACTACTAAGTGCAGATAATGTGGCTGAAAAAGTTAATCAGTAGCTGGCACAGACAGAAATCTGAGGACAGGGGGACGTAAGGTCCCAGGACTTGGACCTGATTCAGAGAGAGCTGATTCAAAATCCAGAGCAGTCACACAGGGTCTGGATGACCTTGGACCCATCCTGGGCCCCAGTGGCAAAAGGGAGAAAAGAGTTCATCCTTAGAGTTAAGAGTGGGCTCTGTGCATGCAAAAGAAGCCTCTGCTTCTTTCTTATACCCTAGGGGGGCATGTTAGCCCCAGGGTTCTGTTGGCTGGTTAGAGAGGAGTTAAGTGGGAAATGAGGAACGGAAAATATAACACATGGACCAGTGTCCCCGATTTCCTAAAACTAATATTCAGTTGTCAACAAGCCCTGGTCAAAGCCTCATTTCCTGTCCTTTTTTTTTTATTTCATCCTCACAGGCAGCCTGAGAGGTGGGCCTCATGAACTCTGGCCAACAGGGTCCCTGTGGCTCAGACCCTGAACTCTCTAGACTATTACTGAAGTCACACAGGAAGGCAGGGATGGAGGCAGGATTTGAATCTGAGTCCCAATCCTGAACCATATCCAGGCCAAGTAGATGCTGACATGGCACACTCTCTTTCTTCTAGGCAAACATGAAGAGAAGCAGCAAGAAGGAGGTATTGTTTCCAAAAACTTCACAAAGAAAATTCAGTAAGTGATCTTGCAGTGTGGATCTGAGGATGGGGGTGAACAGGGCATACCTGAGACCCAAATCTTGAACATCTTTCTTGGGCGATAACCTCCTAAGGGATGGAACTGAACTCACACCTAAAGGAGAGAAGGTGTCACAGCAGACCTTTAATAGGGTCTCAGAAGCAGCAGCACATAGATGGTACGACTCCTCTGCCCATTGACCTGTGAAGTGGGGGACTAGCCCCACGTTACAGATGGAGAATCAGAAAATAAGAGAGGCAAAGTGGCTTGTCCACAGTGACACCAAGAGTTGGGGCATTCACTCACCCATGTGACGTGGCTGATGGAAGATCACCATCGCCACCAAAAAAGCCCCTTGCCCCATACTTCAAATGCCTTGATAGGCTCTTGGGAAGGTTGCTGCTATGTGCTACCACGGGCAGGAAAATGACAGCCTCCCTAGAGAATCACACAAATTAAGCTGCACATTGTCCTATAGTCTCTACTTACTACTCACACGGGTTTGGATGCTGAGACACCGAGGGAGAAGAAAGGCTAGTTTTGCTGATGGTACGGAGTCTTCAGAGTCTTAGGTCAAAGGAGAACAACCAAAAGACAGTATGCTGTTCAATAAAGGGTAACCACATTGGTCCTGTAACTGGCGACTCCTGTGGGAAGAAGAGACTCATGGCAGAGATGAAACAGTTGCTAATGCTTCTCTCTAATCAACATCATTCGCTATGTGCATTTCTGGCCCTAAGGTCCTTTCCTGGCCATCACTGCAGCAAAGATGTACATTAAGGGAAAGAGAATTATCCTTCCTGTACTGGAAAGGAAGCTAAGTCTCTCACAGGCGAAGGACATACTCAAGGTCTTTACGATTCAAATTTAGCAGAGCCCACACAGAGTCCTGACCTCTAAGTTCCGTGCTCAGGAGTGCTATTCCCCCATCTCTAAAAGAGAGTGCTGATCCAGCCTTGCTGAGATCCCAGCTGACATCCCCAGCGCATGGTAGGTCCCCATAGTGGCAGCTTGGTATCACTATTCTTACCGTTCTTGAATCTAAACTCTCCCACCAGCCAAAAGCTGCCAGAGTGTCCTGGGATGGCAAGATTGCACCAGTTGAATTCTGAGGCTTTTTCCTGCTTTGGGTCTCTGCACGCCTGTCTCTGTCCACATCATGCATTTCTAACCCTGCCAGTTTTTGGAAACTTGTGGATGCTTCCTGATAAGAAAAATGCCAAAGCCTTTTTTCTTCTCGGTCGCTGGCTGGTGTACTATCCCATGACCCTCACCTTTTCCTGTGCAACCCCAAGATCAAGCAATGCTGAGGGCAGAGGAAGGGAAAGGGAGGGTGCACCAGTCTTTCCAATGACTGCAGCAAGGACTCAGGATGGAATGACAGGAAGGGCAGAACTGTGAAAAACACTGAGCAGGAAAGAAGTCAGGTGATTAATCTTTTTTTATAAATGGCTGTTTTCATAGATTTCCCCAGCTCTGAGGCCTTGGGGGAAACAGCTCACTGGGAATCCCCTGACCAGATAGAAATGCTCAACATCGATCCATGTGGCGCTGCTACTCAGCTGGTGGCAGGCTAACTGTTAAAATACCTTCAGGCCACTTCTCTGGGCATTGCCGTCAGTGTACCCTCTCTAGGTGCCCCCAGCCTCCCTGACAGCGTACCCAGGCCATCTCAACTTTCTCACTTTGCAGCAACTGAAGAGTCCCAGGGTTCTCCTTCACACCATGGCAGGGTACATCCTTCATGCTTGGCCAGTGCCCAATAGTACTGACTGTTAAATATTTTTAATCTTGGCCCTGAGTGTAGGAGGTCTTGACTTCCTGATAAAGTAAGTAAGCAACTTTGAGTAACTGGCTTAACTGCCCTGAGCTCTATTCCTGTACTCTCTCACTGGTGGAGTTACAGAGAGGAGTGGGAGGATGTGGACAAAGCATTTAGTGTGGGGTGCAGGCTTCATGCTTCATCCATGGGAACTAATAGTATTAAAAGACTCCATGGGCTGGAATCACAGGAAAATGGCTGAGACTCCTGGGAGCTCCTGATTCTGCCCACACTGGAGACATCCAGGAGTTGGGCTGGAGACTGGGACAAGCCTGAATCAATCTCAAGGGACCTCCCCGCCACTTTCAGGAAAATTGTCAGTCCTTAGAGGATATGTCTGCAGCCAGATAGACATTTCCAACCAGGCAGGAGGCTGCAGTTGTTTGCCTTAGGCTAAGAAATGCATCCCAAAGGCTCCATTTTGATTGGATGAAGGGGAGAGGAGAGGACTTGGAATTTGCCTGTCAGGTTGGGGGAAGGGCTGTGGCTAAGCTCTTTTGTACACAGAAGCTGTCGCTGAGAGTGAACAGGAAGCAGGCATTCAGGAAGTCATTAGGAGAGGATGCTCAGAACCAAGGCAGACTTTATTCTCCTTGCTCCACATCTTTCCAGGTATCTATTCCACCATTCACTGACATCTATGATGCACCAATAGTCATGTCAAGAGGTTTTCAGGTTTAATTTTACTTAATCACTGAAATAATTTTGTTTCGTGGATGAAAAACCTGAAGCTCAAAGGAGTGATGGAACTCAACTGAAATCATTCATCTAGTAAAGAGTAGATCTGGAGTATTATGTAGCCTTAAAAAAGAAAAATCCTGCCACCATAAGACGGAACTGGGGGACATTACACAAAGTGAGATAAATAAGACACAGAATGAGAAATCTGGCATGCTGTCAATTTTATGGGTGATATAAAATACTCAAGCTCATAGAGAGAAAGAATAAGATAGTATTCTCCAGGGGATAAGAGAAAAGAGGAAATAGGGAGATGCTGGTCCAAGAGTTATAAAGTTTCAGCAAGGCAGTATGGGTAAGTTCTGAGGGTCTAGTGTACCAACATGGTGACCATAGTTAGCAATACTGTATTATAGATTCAAAATTTGCCAATAGGCTACGTCTTAAATTTATTCTTCTGAACACACACAAAATAACTATTTCAAGGCGATAGACATGATACTTGGCTCTACTGTGCAATGTATACCTATATCAAAACATTGAATTATATGCCACAAATGTGTGTACATAATTTTATATGCCAAGTATATCTCTAGAAAACTGTTTCCAAAAAAAAAGAGCAGATAATGACTTTGAACCTAAGACTCTACTTTAGAGACTCATGCATTTCCTATTTGGCTGAGGGGATTATAGTCATTTGCAGTACTATCATTCACCTGCCATCTTTCCTATTTTTTGCATTATATGCTTAGATTAACTCACTTTTGATAAAGTTAAATTCTCATCATTAAAATGTTCGCTGAAGGAGGCATTCATGAAATAAATCCAGTGAAAGCAAAATGTGTTTAAACTCTGACTAGATAATGTTGTCTGCCTGAGGGACTAAGCAGTGGATCAGCCTGTGCTTTATCAAAAAGGGAAGTTAGTTGGAGAGCCTCAAGGTACTCAAGGCTTATTAACACTTAGCTGAGACCAGCAGTTAGATACAAAGGGAAGGGTTAAAAGGAAACTGAAGACAATAACTTTCCTATCCTATGGGTTCAACACAGAGATCACACCTGATATCCTGGATGAGTCAGTCCCCATCTCCGGGGCTCAGTTTCCCCATGTGTAACATGACGGCACTGTCCTGGACAAACAGGCAGATCCTTTTAGGCTGACATTCTGTGGTTCAATTATACTGCAGCTTGTGTGAAAATATTCACAGCTGTCAAGATGCCAACAAGTGGGCCCCATGACTGCAAAGCAATATTCACGTCACTCTCAGATGCTACTATTACATCTTTCTTCCTACAAGCACGTAGGTTTGCAAGGGCCAGCTCACCAGGCCACATTCTGACAGTCTGGTCCAAATTCAAATGCAAATCTGACTGCAAAGCTCAGGCAGGGCCATGTTGTGCAAAGTCCCTGTTGGAGTGGTAGGCAAACGGTCAGTTAATCCATGCCCAACAGGAGGAGAGAGGTCCATACCTTTCTTTTGTCTCTGCTTTAAAATCTTGGCTCATTAGTTGTCCAGCTTTCCTCTCCTTCTCTTCCATCTTCCCCAGCAGTATGCTTGTTGACCTTTGGGGTTCCAATGAGGAAGGTATCTTTGGGTGGATATAGCTCAAGGGGTGCTGTTTCCAACAAGCAGCTCCCAGGCCCTTCCAAGGACCCTGCAATAATCAGGAACTGGCTATGCTGGTGCGTTGGTTCATTCATTAAGACTCCTGCATTTATAACAAGCAGATCCGGCCTGCTCAGTGGAAAGGAAGGTCTATGATGATTCAGCCTCCTGTCCTCCCATTAAATTATCCTTTTTTCCAAGATCTGATTCAGGGGAACCAGTAGGGCATCATGGTTGGATACTCCATATTTGGAGCCCAAGATTCCAATTCCAATTCCCATAATTCTCTTCTGTCACATATCATATGTATGTCCTTGGGCAAATCCACTTACCTCCATGGGTCTCAGTTTCCTCCTCTGCAAACTGGGGATATTAACAGACTTTGCTCAGCGGGATTATTGTTAACAACTAAATGAGATGTCATGATTCAGTTGAAGTACCTGACACATAAAGTGAAGGGAAGGTTGTGGTTCTCATCATTTTTTTTATTAATAGTGGCGTCCCATTGAGACTATTAACATGTCCTCACGATTTTGTTTGTTGCGGAAATCATAGTCTAGTGTCAGTCACCTCAAACACTTAAAAAATTATTAAAGTAAAAATTTTTTTATCACAACCATTATCAGACTGGGTTCAGGGATTCCTTTTTGAATGCTTTCTCACTCGTTAAATTTGTCTTTTGACTTATCCCAAATCTCCATTTAGTAGTATGCAGGATGGATATACTAACTCTTACCTTTTAATCATACTAAACTCCCCAAAATCTCCAAGCACACATATCAATAACTGAGTTTTGGCACCAAAACAGTCACAGCCTTGATTATTAATATATAATCAAGATGTAACCCTAACCAAGTCTCATTGTTAGCATCATGGACTGTGTTGCCATCTACAATTTATCCATGTGGTAACCCTAACTTTTATCTGCCAACCTGCCTATTTCTTCCTTAGTGCATTGTGTAGGAAAGTACTCTCCACTGGGCACAATGCAAAGGAAAACATACTTCTTACTCTAATATCATCTTGCAGTTCTCTGCAGGAATCTGGTGGTTATAATTTTGGCCAGCAACTTACCCAACGTAGAACCAAACACAGGGGCCAACAGCCCATGTATTTTGAGGTTAAGAACTACTTCCAACTAGCATTTTGCCATTTGCAAAACATGTTCAGACTAATTCTTTCTGGGTCTACAAATACTACACAAGTTCAATATTATTATCACCCTGTTGCAAAACAAAAAACAAGCTCAGAGCAACTGAACAAGGTCACACAGCTACAAATAGGTAGAACCAGGGCACAAACACTGAGCACCATCTGACCCCCAAATCCTAACCTCTTATCTAAAATATTTTCCCTCAAATGAATAAAAGTATTTAAACCGTATTTAAAATGATGGATAATATTTTGTGCTTTTTCTAGGCTTCCTGCAGAGGTGGATCCTGTAACAGTGTTCGCCTCGCTTTCCCCCGAGGGGCTGCTGATCATCGAAGCTCCCCAGGTGCCCCCTTACTCACCATTTGGAGAGAGCAGTTTCAACAACGAGCTTCCCCAGGACACCCAGGAAGTCACCTGTACCTGAGACCCCAGCCTTGGTCCATCCTCATGCCCTCCCCAACCCCAGGGCTTCTCTGATTCCAGGGTACATTACTTTAGCTGAACTCAGACGTAGTGCAACTAAAATGTTGGGGGACAGGGGGAAGGGAAAACGACCACAGATTCCCTGGATGACATAGTGGTAGATTTCTCACTGGATGACGCAATTGGCTAACCATGCTTGTTGCGTTAGGCCAAAGTACTGGTTTTTCTTTCTTTATCTTTTCTATCTTGATGAAAACATTGCACATTCTATAGCTGCAAAACAAAGAAATGGGACTTAACATTTCATGTTGTACCTTACCTTGCAAGTAACGCAAGGGTCACTTTTCTCTGGGGACCTCCCCATTACCCAGATCCCTCCTCTGGGCTCCCTGTTCCCACGATTGCCTCATGGTTCCACCAGTGGAGCCCTTGGCTCAGCCCACTGTATTTCAACATCCCTGGCTCACAAAGGGTAATAGACAGGTCTTATATTCCCTTATGGGATCTATCCACCAACCATGTGAAAATAAACACTGCCTTCTGCCCTCTGCCCAAATGTTTACAGCATGTCCCCAGGGTTCTCAAACTGGCACTCCCCAAGGACTCTAGAAGCGCCTCAGTTAATTTCCTGACAGAGGTCCCCACCACCTTGTACACCTCTCCCCTGTATCCAAGTCAGGATATTTATAGAGGGGCATGTTTCTAGATAGTCCTGCCAAGAACCAAGCAAAGGCCAGACAGCCTGGCAGACAAGCTGGTGGTATTGTGTATATGGGTATGGGACATTTGTGTCATTGTTGTGTGAGTTGTGCTGTTGTTTGGGGGGACAATAGTAAATAATAATTAGTGACAATAATAAAGGAGCTGATGTTCTTAGCCTTGGGTGTTTCTTTTGTTGAGAAACTAGATGTGATGTCACCTACACACATGTACTAGTTAGGAGTGCTGTGGCTTCAAGAAATCATGCCTAATGACTAGTAGCTTAAATGAGATAAAATAGCTATTATCTAATTTCACAAGAAATGCAGAGGCAAGTTGTTGCAGAGATAAATGGTTTCTTCATCTGCTGTGCCACCCAGATCCAAGACCATTTTCCTAGCTTTCTTTTTCCATATCTGAGAAGTCACAGTCCATCCTCAGGGTGCAAGATGGCTGCAGCAGCTCCAAGCATCTCATCCTCATATGAGAATATATGGGAAGGGAAGGCAGGGATTAAAAGGTCTTCTCAGGCCGGGGATTTAGCTCAGCAGCATAAGCACTTGCCTGGCAAGTGTGAGGTTGTGAGTTCGATCCCTGGTACAAAAAAAAAAAAAAAAAAAAAAAAAAGTCTTCTTTTCATCTGTCTTCTTGTTTTATCAATTAGAAAAAAAGATTTTCCAGGAACTTCTTTTATCTCATTGGTCCAAACTTGATGATACATCTTCTCCGAGACCAGTCCTTAGCTGAAGGAAGTGGGGTGGCCCTGATGGGTTTAGACTTATTCTAGTAATTCATCCTGTGAGGACAGGGACATTGCCACCCGAATCAAACAAGATCCTGTTTTGAAAGAGAAAATGGCATAGGGACAATGAGAGCAAGCTAACCTACAAGGACCGTCATAGATTTTGTTGCTGCCAGGCAAACAGCAGCCCTGTAGCAAAGCAGGGCTGCTGAAACAGTGTGTCTGGTAGAACTTCTTCTGTCCTGAGTGCCAGGAGCCCTAATTCAAATGACTGCAGTAAAAAGAGGTATATGTTGGCACACCCTGCAGAGAGTTCCAGGATTAGAGCTTCTTTCAGGTACATCTGGACTCAGGGTTCCCAAGGCGTCAACAGGACTCAGTTTCCCTCCATTTGACACTGCAACCCTGCTTCCGGCCCTGCCTGTCCCATGTCCTCTCCTTACAGCTAGAAAGCAGTTGCAGTCACTACCGCCCCACATTCCTCCACATTCCTGTCCTGGTGGAGAAAATCCTATCTCTTCTGTCTTCTACCATATTCCTGAGAGCTATTTTCGTTGGACAAGCTTGGATCACAGGACTATTGTTATCCTAAGAAAAATTCAGGAAATCAGAGTTTGATGGGCCTCCCCTGGGTCACATATCTCATACTTGGAGCCAATCCCATTTAATCCCCATGGTACCTGAAAAGTAGACATTAATTTTACACTGCAGAAGCTGAGGCTAAAAGAGAAGTGGCCTGGGTAAGTCACCATGGTGACAGCAAAACTCAAACCTGTATGTTTGCTTTGGAAGCATTAATAAGGAGCTTCTAGGCTGGGATTCCTTAAACCTCCCAAAGATCGTAGGATCTGTGAGTTCTGTACATCTACTATGCTCAAGCATGTGCCAAGGACCAGTAATACAGCACAGAGTGAGCCACACTCCTGCTCACAGTCTGGTAATAGATGCAGTAAATAAAAGAATGTCTAATACTTACAATCAGTCCTGAGTATTCTACGTGAATTCATATGGTCCTAAGAGGAAGGTCCAACGTCTCACCGCTTTACAGATAAGGAATCTGAGGTATAGAAAGTCTGAATACACTGCCCCAAATTCTGGTGAGCCACAGACTCAGGCAGGGCTTTCACTCTTAGGCCATTACTCTCTTCTGCATTTCTCCCAAAAAAGCAAAATGCAAGTGTGTCCTAAATGTGTCCATCTAAATGGGCACGGGGACGGGGAAGAGAAGAGAGGCGCTACTGCAAGCTGGGGTTTACCAAGAAAGAATCATTCATGTTAGGACTGGGGATCTGGAAATTGAGCATGGTTTAAGGCTTGAGTAAAAACAGGAATAGTGGTAGAAGGTGCCTCGCAAACAGAAGAAAATGCATGAGCCAAGGAAAAAGGCATGTTCCTCATAAAACCCTTTGATGGTCATTATTCAGAGGATGGAGTCCAAACTTTTTTGTAAGACACACCAGATTGCTGATCTGTCCCAAGGTGACCTTCTCCCACTACTATTCCAACTCCTTCCCAGCCTACCCTCCTGCTCCACCAACTTCTCTCTGTTCTTCCAAACAAACTGGCCCTTTCTTGGAACAGAACTTTGACTACACTGCTCTTTATCTCTTCCAAGAGTTACTCTCCTGCCCTCTTCTTTGGCCAGTTCTCTAGGGCCTCAGCTAGACGCCCTCCAACCTGAAAGGTCAAGGCTCCTCTTGCTTACCCCTGTCCCAACATAGTACATCGGGTGATAACAGGCCGGGTATTTATGCAGCACGATTAATAATAATAATAATAATGATATTGATGATGATGATGATGATGATGATGATGATGGATGATAGGCAACAGTCAAAACTGACCCAAGATGCTCAGTTTTCAATGAAGTGAAGAGAAATTATTCAGATCTAGTGGGAAAGCTTTCCTTATTTGACATTTGATTTGTTTAACAAATATTTACAGGACACTTACCATGTGCAAGATTCTAGGCTTGGTGTCAGATACCAATTTTTCCCATGACAATCAGATAAAAGAAGAAGAAAGGCAAGTTTGTTATTTCTAAATTCATCAGTTCTGGGTCCATGGATATCAAGATTCTAAGGGGATCGAGTGAAAAAAATCTATCTTCAAGTGGTGCCCACGTCAAAGGCATGGAAGACCACAGAGGTCTGCACTAGAAATGAGCAGGGTCACAAGTCACTGCGAGCTGTCACCATGGTGAACAGCTGGCCTCTAGCAAGAGGTGATCAGAGAGGAATTTCAGGTGGTAGGTGGACTTAGAAACTAAAATTATGACGCACAACATTACATTTTGAATTATGGGCATTGTAATATGAAACTCACACCTGTCCAATCTCTAGGGATGTGCTAGGCACCCATAGGTGCTTTGTGTGAGTTGTCTTATGGAGCAGGGAGTAGATAGAGTTTGAGAACACACGGGAAAGTCGATGTAGAAGAGAATCTTTCCTGGGCAGGAATGCGAGAGCAGAAAGGATCTTATGAGACATCATGGATCTCTTGAGGAGGGACTCAATTGACAACATAAGCCATTTTTATTTAAATATCTCAAAAGAATATGGCTTTCCTAGATACCTGCACTATTGTGTTTAGGTCTCATAAAGGCAGAGACTATGTCTTAGTGCTTCTCCACTGAATCTCTCATTCCTATGCCTGTACCATAGAAGGGACTTCATACTTTCATACTGATACACAGAGGAATAGGTAAAACAAAATCTAAATTCCTTTTTACTGCCTTCAAGGCCCCTACCACCTCTCCAACTTCATCTTCCATAGTGCTCTCTCTCTCTCTCTCATTCTTTACCCCAGACTTCCTTTGTCTCTCAAAATCACTGTGTTCATTCTCCTCCCAGGATCTTTGCATTTGCCATTCGTTTGATTGTGAATATTCTGTCCCTAGCTGCTTGGTTGGATACCTCCTTAACCTATCACATCCTCACATCTCTCCTCAAATTATATCTCTCCATTCCTACTCCTATTTGCTTCAGTCCTGCAATATTGTGAAAAGCTTCACAATAGCCTTATTTGATTACCTCACACTGCCTTACTTAGTTCAAAGTACTTCTTATAATTGCTTTCACTTGGTCACAAACATGCACATACATTAAAAGGCAAGCTTTCCTCAATGTGTGTTACTTACAGAGATACATCATAGAATGTAAACTCCGAAAGTGTAGGAATCTTCTGTTCCTGTCTTATCCAATAGTGTCATTTATGCTAAATACAATGTTTAGCACATCAGGCAATATCTATCGAATGGATGAATGAAAGAATGCTAAGTGTGGGTCACTGGGAAATTAGACTAACTACATAATCTCAGATTCTAGAAACTTGCTCAGTTTAGAGAGCTTCTAGCCCCAAGGCACAAGACTTGACATAGAAATAGATACATGTCTCTTCCCCCAGAGATCTCCGACCAAGTGGTTGGTAATATTGTTCCCAGCCCTCACTTCTATGCTGCTAGGACTGGGGATCACTAGAATCCACTTCCATCCCCTCCCAAAGAGCTTTATCTGAAGTGCACCTCCGCCCCCTCCAAAGTGCACCTCCAGCCAGCCAGCTGCCAAGAGTTGGTGATATATGGAGATGACTTGATTTGACTTTGAAGGGAAGAAACAAATTTATATGTCTGGAAATACATTCCAGGAATTAGGGGCCGGCTTCTCCCCTACCCTATCCTTTGGTGCCTCATGAGTTCTTAATCATAATGTAAAAATCAATACTGTCCCTTAAATGATCCAACACCTGCTGCTGGTGGGGAGTAGGGCTGTCTGGAGTTGCCATCCCGCCACATGTCCTGGGCCCAGGAGTTTTCAGAAGATGTGAGGGTTCTCAAGCCTTGCTGTGGGCTCTCTCCACTGGTTGGTGAGGGCTGCTTGAGTCTTACTATGTACAGTGAGGTCAACCTGCCAATCTTCCAGCTCAAAGATCTCCCAGCTGCAAATAGATATGGTGAGGGTTAGGGTAGTCCCAGAGGGAAAGTGGAGGAAGAGCCATATGCAACAGCATTATCATTGCCCTCTGCCAAGGTGGTTTAAGTACGGGGAGATGCACTTGAAGTCCGGCCCTTCAATTAGCAGTTCGGTGTATATTTGCGGAGCCTTTTTGGTCACCACTCAATTCAACTGATGTGCCGAGATACAAAGATGCCATGTGTCCAAATATTTCAATATTTGGTATTTTAGTGCTTCAGTACCAGTTGGTAAATTTTGCTGTCTGAGACTTTCAGGTCCTCTTCTATGTGTATAGTAAGCCTGTATTAAAAATGTCTTTTTATTCTGATGCTCAGTGGACTCTGGAGATAATCCAAAACAGAGCTAACCCATTCCTTCAGAAAGCAAAGCATTCACCTGTGACTGCCTCTCATACATGAATCACACAATCCAGAGCCTGGCCCTCAATTATCTCTACAATAAATCAAGGGCCTCTACTCATC